TTTTATACAATTAAAAACAAATTTACAATGGTAAATTTTGTAGATGACGTCATCTCCTTGGTGGTGGGGATGATTATCTAAATTTTGGTTAGCGTCTTACCATCTGCACGATATTTCTAACATACATACAAAATTTGACAACAATCGGTAAAGTAGTTTCGGAGATTATCTGTCTAACAAAAATGGATACTGGCGGCAGACAACAGACAGCGGGAAACGGAAAATCTACGTTTTCGTACTCCAGGGGTCATGAAACGTCGAGAAAACAAGTAATGATTTGTCAGATGGATCTTATTACAATATTAATATATATTAATAAACTGCAATTGACAAAAACATAAGAGCGACAATTTTGTGTTCTACATGCTGTGAAAAGTCCGGAAAACATGAAATCTGCCAAATGACCTCATTGCAATACTCGTTAGTATAAAGACATCATTACCACACTTGGCAGTGGCGCCTAAAGTTCCCAGTATCCTGTTATAAAAAGGATACATCAATAATAATTACCGAATGTTGTATTATTACATTTTCACAATAAAATGTCCTCAGATATGTTTGTTAAATTTTACTGGTAATTATAGATACGGTGGTGAACGAGTTAATTTTAATTAAATAAATAAAAAAATAATGACTACGCTTTAACGTAACCTAAATTCGATATTAACGTGAACAAAAAGTAGGAATGTATTTTGGAAGGATCAATTGACAAATGATAAATCCCGTTGAATATTTTTCACGTTTGTAAATCTGTATCATTTATCAGAGGCACTAAATATCATAAATAACAAGACGGTAGAACCAACAGCTCGTGTTTTTGCACCAATTTCAAATGCGAAATTTGACAAATTGGTCAAAGTTTCCTGTTTCTTTTTGTGGAGTTGCGAATAAAAAAGGAGTCTGTTTCTTTACCTTAAAATACACAAGTTTCGTAGTTTCTGCGTCTAGGGAAATATAATTCCGAGGACGAAACAACAAAGAGGGATAAAGTAAATTTTGATTCTGCTTAGTGAAAAATGGTATAAATTTCTCTTGCCGCTTCGCGTAATAATTTTTAAGCTCACAAATTTTTAAACAAAGCCCCAAACCTAATTGCTTGGCAAATTAGGGGCTTTTATGAGCCGGCTTATAATAAAAGAAAAAGCATTTTTATTACGTCATACAGCCGGATATTAAAAATGGGAAGAAGTAACACGAGGACAGTTATTTAGGAAATAACCGAACAATAACGAATAACGTTAGGAGAGTTATTGGTGGTGCGAAGGGAATCTGCTCTCGGCGTTCTCGATTCTACGCTCGAGATGACACAATCTGCGAAATAAGAATGACCCAGATTGTTTTATGCAAATTCTCGCAAAGTTTAAAACTACGTTTCCGGACGTAATGAGTGACGTTTCTAATTGCATCTGAAAATTTTCAGCGCCCAGATGGCAACTGCATCTCCGGGCGAGTTAAATCGTCGTAAACAGTTTCAGTTTTCGCGAGTTCCTTAGAATTGTGCGCAAAGTGAGTAGGTTAAGCTCATTCAAGGGCTCTTTAGCCAGTTGAACAGATATCGTAAACTCTGCACAAAGTTGGTAATGTTATACTGTGCTACGTACTTAAATTTAACGTATTGTTGCAACATTAGACTCTCAATGCCGCAAGAATCTTCATGGAGTGAGTAAAGTTTGCAGGCACGCAATTTCGGCGTTCTAATCTGTTAAAAGTACCGAAATTAATTAAGACTCGCTTAATATTTAAATTATTTCGTCGTGGCATTAAATCACAATTTCAGCGTCACTCAGATTCTCGACATACACGATTCGAGACGCTTAAGGATTCGCTTTTGACTTGAAATGTTGATTTTGCATTTAACGCCGCTTTCATTTGATTTCGGCAAAGAAATCGGACAAGATAAAGAAGGGAAATTGAACAACACGAATCTGGATAAGACAGATCAGGAAATTAGGTAGCTTGGATTTTTCGCTCATTCCTTCGTCTAATAGAGGATCAAAAATATTGAAAGACACCACAACTCAACAACGGGCGAATAGGGCCAACCAAACCGTGTAACGGGCGATATTGCAGCACTTATCGATCTTTTTGTGACCAGATTCGCTCTAATATCGCAACTTTGGAATCCTCGCTAAACTGCGAACAACTATCGACTTCCTGCTTAGGCTCTGATAACTGAATACAACGTCATGTACGTACTTGTTCGACATTAATTGATGGAAAATTATTATCAGAAATAATTCGACAAGTTTACTGAAATTTACACTAGTTTCTTCATTATTTAACATACATTTTCGCATAGTTAACATGTTGTGGCATTTTGTAACACGACGTATTATCCAAGAATGCTTAATTTCAAGATAAATCAATTTACGTTTTCTTGTTTAGGTTAGTATCATTATATATATACCAGATACTTTTGGTCTGATGCTAAACTGTCAAAAATGTTCTTAAAATGCTCCACAGAATATATATTTGACAGGGGCGGCTGGTGGCGGGGGGCACAAACGCACGTGCCCACCAAAATTACAACGTCTACAAATACACTGGACATAGCAAAATAGTAATTTTCAATATTTAAAAAATTATCCGGAAATTTGTGTCTTTAATTATTATTAAAACAAATTTTTTCATCTCGCTCCACTTATATTAAAATGTATCAAAACTTACACTTACATCTAAAGATGTCTCTTGGATATATGATATGTTATTTCTGATGAAATGCTGATAAAAGCCGAGCACAGAGAACAAAACGTCTAAATCATGGCTGATTTAGACGTTTTGTTTACACCGCTGCCATGGAAACCTCACGTCCTAGCCGCTTGATTCACCTGGACATGCGGTCCCGTTGCGACACTGTTCGGCAGGATTGAGTTACTATCGCGAGTTTTAATTTTTATTCTGTGCGAGCACGTATGATAAGTATTCTTGGATAATCTTCTCGGTAATACTCGCTTATATTAATAATATTCGGACACATAACGTAAGGATCGACAAAAATCGCCATATATTACGCCGATTGATAATATGCATACAATTTTGTGGAGTGTTTGAATTTGCTTTACGTGGACATGACGAAAGTAAGGAATCACAAAATCCAGGTATATTTCGAGGCCTGATTGATTTTATGGCTGAATTGGACTTATCAGATCATTTGAAAGAAGCAACGGTTTTTAAAGGAACGCCTAAAACTGTCTAAAATGAACTTTTAGATGCCATGAACACCGAAGGCAAAAAGGTATGTGGAGAAATCCATTTTTATTTTTATTGAATGTATTTTTGTATTTACTTACCTCACACAATTTCGTATATTAACTGGTAATAACAGCCTGTTTTATATCTTCATATTTATTTCATCAATCAAATTGTGTCCCCCCATTTCAAAAGGTCACGAGGCGCTACTGATACTTGATATGAAATTACTGCCCACAATAATGATAATACACTGTCGTTATAAAAAACATTACAAACGCTACAAAGAGTTTAAGGTTAAAGTTCGCTATGGCAAGTGATAACTTGATAACCAGAGACCTGACCCGTGAGGGTAACTTTAAAGTTGCCTATAGGCTAGCATCTTCGCTGCATTTAGAAGTGGTTAACTTGAAGTACATTATCAATGATTGCTCTTTCAATATTTTCCTCCATAAAACTGACTTTGTAATGCTATGATCTTTGAGTTTTATATCTAATATGTAGGATGACGCTGCTGGACTTGTGTGGATTTGAAGTAAAACTAACCCTTTTTGTACTGCACAGTTAGCCACTTGAAGATTAATTGCTCCGACGCTAGGTTCAAGTGCATCCGTTGATAATATACACATACGTAATACGACTGATTTTTTTTCTAAAATTCGAGTTATCGCATGATTCGTTTTGTTTTTCTTTGCAGTTATACCTTAATATGAAAATTGGGGCTTATAAATCCACCGCAACCCAAAATCGCCTTCATCACCCCTTAATACAAAAATAACTACGCTGCCCCGTAAAATTAACGCAAAATTTTAAAATTTTATTTTTTTTTTTTAGATGATTCGTAATTATTAAATCCAATATAGAAATTCTAGAACAAAAATCTACAAAAACAACAAAGTAATAATGATTTGGGAGCAAATTGCAAGAAATAAAAAAATAGCATCTTATTCCCAGTAAACACAGTTACGTTTTAGCGATGTTAATGCCACTTAACTCTGTCTACGATCTTGTTAGCTGTTACATCCCAAACTGCGTACATTTGCTTTCCCTGTGCTATGTAATGTAATCAACAGTGACCCATGCTTGTAACATACTGGTGACATCCACATCGTTTCAGACTAGAGACGTGCTCGCGGTACATCATCATAACGTTGTGTTAGTATGTCGCTAGATTCTCTATATTTTTATGTATCTGTTACGTTTTATTTTAAACGCCAATATAACATATTAAATGGACATAGACGTTACGTATATATCGCAACATCGTAAACATATGACTCTCAGTATATTTTATTAACATGATCTATGCGATGTGAATAGGCATTTCAGAAAGTCTAGTTACCATTTAGGGATATGGAAATGGAGAGTAAAATTTAAAACTTACAGTAAATTATTATTTTATTCAATGTTTGAAAAAATATAATATGTAATAAGTAATAAAATATAAAAATTAATATAAATTCATAATATAAATAAATAAATATATATATATATATATGATTTCCTAATTCGAAAATAATACAATATAATTTACACTTAAAAAAGGACACAGAAACTATAAACTGTCGTTGTTTTTTCTTTCTTCAGGCGTTGACTAGAATGTCGTAGCCACTCTGAGCAGCGTTGTTCTACTTCTTTTTCTATTGCGGAATGGGTCTTCATTGTAATTTCTTCAAAAATAAAAATTGTAATAATTATATTTATTGCAAAAAAAATACCTTTCATAATATTCATTGTTTTTGTCCCAACCATTTTGGAATTTTCCTACCGAACAAACAAGCTACAGCAAATTCGCTGAATTTTTTTTTTTTTTAATATACGCTCCACATTGTTCTTTTTCCCATTACCACCTATCTGGGACAATAGCAGTTCCTGAAATAAGAAAAGAAGAAAATATTTTTATGTGTATATATCGAGTAACTCTGAAATATTTAAGTTCGGAAAATAAAACCACAAGATCACGAAGTAGAGAAAATTTTAAGTAATTTCTTTTATCTAGTCCCAATTCAGGGGAAAAATATCAAGATCCACACCTCATTCAGTGTCATTTGTTTCCATCTAAGCAACACACAGCAAAAATAAAGAAAAAATTTAGTCACAATGGAAACTGAATAAATCATTGCCGCATCATTTACATTTAACAAGTTGTTCCGTATTTGTTTCTTGAAACTGGAGCAGCAATTTAATTACTTTGAATCCGTGTGACAATTAAAGGATTTTTTTTTCCGAATCTATTTGGAAGTCACCGCGTATGTATAACATACAGGGTGCTTCACTGTAAGACTTTTCTGCAACCCAATATGTATGTAACGTGTTAAGCGAAATGTGTCATGTTTAGTAGGTTCCAAAAAAGTGTTATAGTATTACAGGCATCTACCTGTATATAATATCCAAAATTATGTTATATGTAAGTACATATAAATATATTTAGTCCAGTCATTTTAGCATAAAAAAGGGATCAACCTCAGAATGAGAGACAATAAGCTGAATTTTTGTATACGCCTTAATTTTGGCGTTCTAAAAGTTGTCTCAAAAGTCTAATAAAATCTCGTGTCTGCGTCGTAAGTTATTCAAGGTCAAAGGTCAAGAAAAACAGTTTTTTGCAATGATCTCAGTTTCTATTGCTCCAATGATGTTAACAATTATTATCATAATTGTAGAGCACAAAATTTGGGACAAATTTTATTTGAAATATTTTTTCATGCGCTCAATCGTTTTGGAGATAGAGCACAGTGAGCGCGCAGCGCTCGTCCATACGTACTGAAATGCAATCAACCGTGAATATCTGTCAATACTACCTTGAATTTTGAATAATTTGTATTATTAATCAATTAATACATTGTATTTAATAACATTTTACATATTTTCAATATATTCATAGAATAATACTTAACTATTTTGTGTAATTAAAAACTCATTTAATGAAATATTTATTGTATATCTCAATTTATTTGTATCTTTAAAATGTGCAAGTTTTTAAATACTTATTTTCTTATCATGATTATAACGGAAAGGTCTGGAAACAACAATTCAGGGCACCGAAGATGACGACGATGAAACAGAAATTCCCGAACGTCCAGAAGATGACGGTGAAGAAGAAGAAAATTGATACTTTTGTTCTTTAAATTATTAAAAATTTATAGATTTTCACTGCAAGATGAATCGTAAGAAATGTCCAGCTGCTGAATAAAGATAAAATTAAAATATATGAACTCGTTTTACTTCCTTAAAATTTACTTTGAAAAAATTAATATAACTTTAAGATATATAATAATCTAACCTAAGATATACCTACAATAAATATGTCATTTAAAGAGTTTTTAATTACACAAAGTAGGTAAGTATCATTAAATAAATGTATTGCAAATATGCAAAATGTTATTAAATGCAATGTATTAACTGATAAATAATACAAATTTTTCAAAATTCAAGGTAGTATTCACAGATATTTTCACGGTTGATTGCATTACAGTATGTATGGATGAACGCTGCGCGCCCACTGCCCGCTATCTCAAAAACGATTAAGTGTATCAAAAAATGTTTCAAATAAAATTTGTCCCAAATTTGTGCTCTACAATTATGATAATAGGTGTTAACATCATTAGAGCAATAGAAACCGAGATAATCGCAAAATAATGTTTTTCTTGACCTTTGACCTTGAATAACTTACGACTCAGACACGAGATTTTATGAGACTTTTGAGACAACTTTTAGAACGCTAAAATGAAGGTATATACGAAAATTCAGCTTATTATCTCTCATTTCGAGGTTGATCGCTAATTTGACTGGACTAATTGTATTTTTTTAACTTACAAAGAAGCCTGCTTGTTGTAGTAGGCAGAGATAATCTTCTAATTCCTCAAAATTTGTTTACCTGTGGTCTTGGCGGCATATCTTCTATTACTGTTTTCTTTTTGATTTGTCACATTTGATGACGTTTTCATATTGGAGATTTGTTCACTCGTTTCCTTTAGAATTTCTTTTGTTTCGCACATATTTTTTGTATTTGTTTCAAGTCTAGAGTAAAATTGTGTTCATTAGCACCTAGTTCATAAAAAATTGCAGTAACATACCTTTGCAACATGTTATGGCAAAGCGCCTCACTTTCAAAAACAATCACCGTAAGTTCTTCAAAATCACCGGGAGTATCTTCAGTGATTAATGGTGGTATTTCCAGCTTGTCTGAAAAAACTGTTGTTGTTATTTACGTACAGTTATCAAAAACAACAGAAGCATGTAAAAATTAAAATGATTACTTCATTAGAATTATATTAACTTACCTAGTGTAAATTTAATCCACACTGAATGGCACAATTTTCACAAAACTGCATTAAAAATGAAGTGATTTACGGATTCACGAGAAAGGTTCGGTGGTTGTGAACCAAATGGCCAAATGGAATTCGACAGCTTCACTGTGAGTCTGAAGTGCAATAACCATAAATACGGAAAAAAGGGATCGTCCGACTCATAGACAAACCAAACCAACAAAGGTCCGACTGCACCCCCCAAACATCTGGTGGATAGTAAATGCAGAAGTTGAGCGTTATTTTTTCACTAGATAAAATAAATTTAATAAAATGAAAATTAACCACTCTCTAGTTTTTTTGCTACCCATCATCGCTTTATAAACGTCGTTATAAAATCAAAATTCGACGAATGAACTCTTCAAAACCTTGTCCCGTTTCAGGGACAATGGGCAAAGAATTTTTATGGCTTTGTGTCGTTGGGTCTTCCCTATATTAACCCCAGATGTTTAAGGTGACCAAACGTTCCGATTTGATCGGAACTGTACCGATTTCAATACTCTAATAATTCCGATTTCAAATTTCGTCCAATAAATGTTCCGATTAAAACATTCGTTCCGTGAATGTTCCGATTTCTATAAATCTGATAAGAATAAAGATAAATCCTCGGATAAATCACTAATAGTAATTTTATTTTGTGAAAAATTGGGAACAAAACTTGTATGGATACGGTTGTCAGCACTGCACTGTTTTAAATGTCAGCAGATGTCAGTACTGTTAGTATATTACAACTAAAAATTTTCAAAGCAGTTATATATCAGATTACGATGGAAATGGAAACTAATGTTCCGGTTTCGGACTTTTGAAATCTGGTCACCTTACAGATGTTCTATTTATAATTTGCCAAGCAGGTACTTACAAAATAAAATTTCAAGTGAACAAGTTTACAGAAATAATTCTTAGAAATTATTACAATGAAAAAACTTGTCTTTGGTGTATTTCTAATAAAGCCGTTGTATTTTTCGCTCTGAATATAATTATTAATTAAGCATTACGAACTCACTGACGAAGGTCACTTTTTAAAGAATACGACGACCCACATCTAATTGACCATACAATCTTTAACAATAAATTTCAAATAATACCATAGTGGTTTTTTTAAATTTTGATAAGGTGTTGTAAAACTATTTCTGTTTCTGTCTTCATTCCAGGTGCTGTATTTACTTGGGCAAAAGATGCCGTACGTGGGATTTTAGGGGCGGAAACGTATACCTGCTTAAATACTGTAAATACAGTGGTGTCGAACGAAGACAACAACAGAAACATACCCGATGTATTGGGCAGGGCCTAAATTAATGTGCACTTCTACACATTTTGTGCAGTTCAAAAATGCATTTGTGCAGCTGGAAATTGCAATTTGTGCAGTAACTTTTTCACATTATTAACATTTTTACTTCCCGAGCGTAAGTTACTATTACTGACGCCGGTTCATCCCTTCACCGAAAAGAATCGAGGAATTTTTATGATTTTATTTGTCAAGTTGGAAGCTCAAGAAACCCCAGATGTGCTATTTTCGCTCTGTCACGTACCTGCTTAACAATAACACTTGTCTCAGTGATTTCGAAAAATTGCACAACAAAAATTTTATCAGTCGTACTTGCGGAGTCGTACTGCCTTCACAGCTCTTATCACTTTGGTTTTTTCTTGCATTGGTAATGCGCTGTTTCTAATTTTCTTTTGTGCTATGACAAGTATTATTTACATTATTATTGGCGTCATCACAAATTTTTTATTGATCCAATTAAGAACGTGTCACCCCATTTTCTTAAAAATATGAGAATACGCAAGTCTTTATTTAAAAATGACAAAATAAGAATTATAATAATAAAATTCAGAACATTTTTTTCGATTGTGGCTTAATTAATTATTTTAGTCTTCTGTTTTGGGAAGACAACACACAAACTTTTGTGATGTACCTTTAAATAGTGATATATGTATGTATTAATCGTGTCGGTATTATGCCTTTTTTAGATTTTTGTTTATATCTTTACAATATATTTATTTTGAATTTGCGTTTTGCTATTATTTATTTATTATTAATGTTGTAGGTATTCTCACAAAATCGACAAAATCATACTGCACTTTAATGGGGGGGAAGGGGAAGAGGTGTAAAAGTACTATTAAGAACACAAGGGGGATTATTGCGATTGTGCAGTTGGAAATTTTCCTTAATTTAGGCGCAGGTATTGGTTATTATTAGAGAGCGGATTTTATGAAATTTGCATATCCGTTATTTTTTGCATATAAGTCTTGATATTTAATATGTGAACGAATCATGCTAATTAAAAATGAATGCAGCTATAAAAAATTGCATATTTGCATATATTTGCCTTCTGCTGCATATTTCACATACCGGGTGCATATTTTGCATTATTTATCAATTTTTGTGCTACTTTGAAAAAAAAATGCCATTCGATCGGCATTTTTCTAGAAAAACGAAACTTCATGAATCATATTGCAAATATTGTCCTGAGCTTCAAATAACTGGGTTTGGGTTTTATGGTAGTTTGGAGGAACCACTGGGTGTTAAGCCATCCTTCCAGGTAAATTCGGGTCCTAATTACTTTTGGAAATACCGTTCATTTCAATATTTTTGTTCGTTACTTAAGTGTATGAATGGTATGTTTTATGGTGGTCGAAGGGACGTTATCCTATTATTTTTCATCGTGAGTTTGCATTTAAGTATTTAAAGCGATAGAGATGTGTGTCAATATGTAGATAACTCAAATTAATTTATGAATTAAACCTTTTCCTGAACTTATTCTTCAAGAAGGAATTGTGTTTTGTTGTGCCTGCGCTAATCCGATAAGTATTTTTACATCTGTGGACGCAGTACGCAGTTTTTTTATTTACAAATACATACTTTAGAATCACCGGAAAAATTTTTGTTAGAATATTTCGAAAAATATTTAAAAATAAATTGTTACCAAAATAGTAATTAAATAGTCGATTACTACTATTTTTTAATTCGTTCTGTTTACCTATATTTATTTTTGAGTATAAGAATATTATCTTAAAAATGTCATTTATTTGTCAGTGAGATCTAATTAAACACTTTGCAATGTGATTTATGTATTTTTTGTAATAAAAGTTAAGGTGTTTTTGCAATTTGTAAATAAATTTAGTTCGGTTATTACGCTTTTTTTAATTTTTTGAGCATGTGCAACTGCATATCTCTGCATATATTAAGAAAGTTATTGCATGTTGGATGTATGATTATTACTCATACATACGTACCGAAAAAGATTGATATAAAATGAAACACAAACATGTGCTGTGTAACACTGTATTTACTTGTTGTTGACAGTTCGGAGTCTATGTACAAAGTTGTTAAAATCGGAAACGATACATTGCAGGTAGAAGAGAAAGTTGGGGACGCTTGTTGACAAGGGTTGCGGTTGGTAAGTAAAACCGAAACCCGAACATGGTCCGGCGCCTTGAAAGAACTAACTTTCAACATGACAAAGTATAACAATTGCAAATATGAAATACATAATATGTGTCTACATGACAGGTGCATACATTGACAATGAAATAGAGTACAGAACACATAAAAAAAAAAGGGGTAAATTTAGACACTGCACATTTGTTTATGTCGGAAGCACACACAGCTTAGTCACTTGCAGGTTAATCACATCATGCGCGGTTCTCACTGTCACTACGCGAATGGAGCCTTGTAGACCGGGATGAACAGTACTAACGCGTCCCAGTGGTCCATATAAGCGGAGGTGTGTGGTCTTCCTTAACGACCACCAAATCGTCCACCTTATGCTGTTGCGGCTGGCCTTGGTCCATTTTGGGCGATGATGAAGTTGACCCATATGTTCTGCTGTCCACCGTTTCCAAAATTGCTGCTGAGTGCGGCTGAATTGTTGCCACCTGGAGAGCCGGTTCGTTGAGACCGTGGTGACGTTATCCTCTGGAATAACAGTTAGAGGGGTTCCAACGAGGAAGTGACCGGGAATTAAAGGAGTCAGGTCATTTGGATCTTTGGACATGGCGGTTAACGGGTACGAATTCAAACACGTTTCGATTTGTATATGCAACGTCTGCATTTCTTGCAAATTAAATAAAAATATACCAGTAACGCGCTTTAACTGACTTTTCGCAGATTTGACCATTGCTTCCCCGATAGTCCCCATATGTGGTGCGGAAGGCGGAATGAAATGAAAATTCATGTGGTTAGTTGTCAAATGAGGATCATCCCGCCACAAAATTTGTTCGTATCGTCTGTCTTCGGGATGAATTAAAATTTGATGATACATGTTACAAATGTCCGCTGTAAAAGCGACCTCATGCGTTATAGATCGAATTATTGCATCGGAAATGTCGTTTTGTACTTTTGACCCTGTACTGAGACAAACATTTATGCTTTTTCCGACTGATGGTTTGACTGACCCATCAAACACTACGCAAATCTTTTCAGTGACCCCGTCAGTTTTGGAAACCGCATGATGAGGCAAAAAATGATGGGGTTTACTTTCGATTTTTTGCTCTGTAAATGAACCTAGTAAAAGCATATGATCTAAATTAATCTTTTCTTTTATAAAATTATGATAGTTGATTTCTAACATTATATTTTTTGCGAACTTAAGTTCCGATGAGTACAATCGTTGAAGCGCGATTTCTTTCGAATTCCTCAAAATTGGGAAACACTTGCTAAATGTTAATCTGACTTGAAATCGTCCGTTGGATAATTGAGTGGCATTGTTAATAAAATAGTTCTCATGTTGTATTTCAAGAGCTGTGAGCGGCTTATCATCGTTTGAATAACTTTCAAGTTTCCAGAACTTTTCAACCTGCTTTTCTAAATTGACATTATTGACCGCGCAATGTAGATTTTGACGAGTGTTACTGGTGGGGCATCCATGCAATGGCCCTCCTACAATCCAACCTAATAAAGTTTTTTGTAATATTAAGCCATGTCCTATCGTTTGAATTTGACCTACACATAACAGTTGCCAAAATAATCCAGCTCCGATTAACAGATCGATTGGCTGTGACAAATTGAAATTAGGATCGGCAAGTTTTACCGCTTCAGGTATGTCCAGCTCATTTTTAGAAAAGGTACGGACAGGTATGTTCTTCGAAATTTTTGGGATTACCAGACAATTTAAAGCTGTTGTAAATGAGTAATGCAACGACTCGATCTGTACCTGAACCTTTTGTCTAGCGGTCGTATTTGAACATTGAATACCTGCTACGACCATATTTGCATTTTCTGTACTTAAACCCAATTTGTTAGTGGCGGCTTCAGTAATAAAATGCGATTCTGAACCCACGTCTAACAAAGCCCGGAATTTTTGAAATTTGTTTTTACAATCCTTTATTAGAATTATTGCTGTAGACAAAACGGCTTGTGGAAAAAGGGCGGATGAGCAATAAACTCCACTGGTACTGGGCTGGTTTTCGTTTGAATGAGAGGGTTGGTCACTATGTAAAAGTGTATTATGTTTCAATTGGCATAATTTACATGACATAGATTTACAGCTATCGGACGTATGCGATGGTTTGAGACAATTTTGACATAATTTCAACCCAGCTACCTGAGACCTTCTTTCCGAAACACTGAGTTTTAAAAAGGTAACACAGTTGTAAATTAAATGAGATTTTTTACAAAAATTACAAGTGGATTGTGTGCTATTGCGATTTACTGCCGCTGTAAATGTAGACACCTTTTGTGGGGGCTTTGAAAATGATTTCGGTTCTGTTTTTTGATTATTATTATACGTATTATTAGTTTTAAATTGCGATTTATTTAACTCCATCGATTCCATCAAATGACACCGTTGTGTCAAGTAATCAATTAACTGTTTTTTAGTTGGTAGTTCGTTCGTAGTCAAAGATTCTTCCCAACCCCTGCGGCTGACAAAGTCTAATTTCGATGTTAATAAATAAATGAGTAAGACGTCTGATTGATTTATTTCGACATCAAAGGATTTCAACGCTTCAAGATTTGTGTTAAAAGTGTCTAATAACTGTCGCATTGAACTAGCAGAATCTTTAATTACTTGAGGCAGATTAAACAGATTGGTCACGTGGTGCTGGACGATTAACCGTTTGTTTTCAAATCTGTCCTTGAGCAATTTCCACGCTACATCATAATTTGCCTCAGAAATTGTTAACGGATTTATGGCGTTTACTGCGTCGCCACACAAAGAATTTTTTAAATGATGGAATTTCTGAATTTTGGTCAGACGTGTGTCGTCATGAACCAACGTTTTAAATGTATTATAAAAAGGTAGCCATTCAGTATAAATTCCGCTAAACGGTTTGATAACAATCGGGAGCAATTGCACCGATGGTGACGGTGTGCTCGTAGGTGCGTTATCTTGCGGTGCAGGTGAAGATGTGTTAACGCGTTTTTGTTCAATAGCATCTTCGACATCTGCACATAAATCGTAATACGCGTTTTCAAAATAAAGTCTTGTGGTAGCTTGTTCTAAATCGGGGGTGGCGTCATCAAGAGCTTCAATCTGAGAATGGATTTTGTCAAACTGAGCCTTAATACGTACAAAATCGCGCAATCTTACTCTTAGTCGAGAAGCGGATGTACTTAGATTGTTTGTTTCAAACCACAACTTGAAACGCGATATTTCGTCGTGAATACGATCTCTTTTTAAGAGTAAAATTTGTAAATTTCCTGCATCCTCTGGTGTAGGATTTGAGTCCGAAAATGTTTCGGCATTGTCGTCACCTTCCGCGCCTGCCATGTGTGGAGCATCGAAAGTTTGCGAACGCGTCATAACCATTTGAAAAACCGCTTAGTTGAAATACGTAAAACTGGTACAGTTCGGGCAAGGTAAATGGTACTTGCCAATGAAATTTAAATAAAATGACGTACAATTACGGTCGAATGCGTGCTTGACCGGAAATAGATAAAGAAAAGGAATAGTTGGAACCCACTCACCGCAATAAGGCCCTCTGGCACCTGGGACGGCTAGACTGATTCGCTGCTCTCCTGTCCGGTTGGGAATTTCCAATGGCTGGATCCCGTCTCCCGATGCAGGCGTCGAAAATTGCCAAAACCGTAATAAGATCACCTGGAGCCTGGGTGAATTGACTGGATGGGCTGAATTCGCTGCTCTCCTGCTCGGTAGGGAACTCCGATGGCCGGTAGGTCACGTCTCCCGATACAGGCGTCGAAAATTACCAAAAACGTGATAAGGTCACTTGGAACCTTGGATGAAACGACTGGATGGGCTGGATTCGCTGCTCTCCTGTCCGGTAGGGAACTCCGATGGCCGGTAGATCACGTCTCCCGATACAGGCGTCGAAAAATGGCACCACCGCGTTTTATTGTTGAATTCACAGCACTGGATCACACATGTGGAGAGATCCGGCTCGAAGGACCAATGTTGGTTGTATGATTATTACTCATACATACGTACCGAAAAAGATTGATATAAAATGAAACACAAACATGTGCTGTGTAACACTGTATTTACTTGTTGTTGACAGTTCGGAGTCTATGTACAAAGTTGTTAAAATCGGAAACGATACATTGCAGGTAGAAGAGAAAGTTGGGGACGCTTGTTGACAAGGGTTGCGGTTGGTAAGTAAAACCGAAACCCGAACATTGCATATTTGCATAAATTTGATGCATGTCATATGATCATATTTCCCAAAATTTTGCTGCATATTCTCCGCTCTCTAGTTATTATACATACACTCTATTACCGACATTAAAAAAAGTCTACACTATTTCGTCATATCTGCTGCTTTATTATCAGTTTTCAGTTAGTTACATATTGGATATGAAATTAAGTGAATTTTTTGAATAAATAATAATTTAAAGATCAACCACAAAAATACTCAATTATAATTATACATTATACATTACCAGTTTATTTTAGAGCCCAAGATTACATTGGAAAAATCTAAACTTTTGAAAATTTAATGTTAAACAGATATACCTATAACTGAGTGCGAAAGTCAATACACAAAACTCGATGATCAATTATTGTTTTGTATTCAAATTATTATTTATTTTCCTTACGATCAAAGTGAAGAAATTATTTAATTCATTTTTATTTAAGAACGATATCGCTGACCTTGAAATAGATTGGTTTTTAGTTTCGATTTTTTTCTTTTTGTTGCTTTTGTTGCCGATCAACATATTTTGCATTAGAATTAATAAAATAATGAAATATATCATTTTATTTTTCGAGGTCATTTCAAAATTCTGTATATGTATAATTGTTCCTTTTTGGCAGTGACGCATAGGCAGAGGTTAAAAAATAATGTCTCATTACTAGTCTTAATTCGTATTACCTGTTAGATGGGACATTTTTTAATTCTGATCATAAACTATGTGCATTAAGTCTCTTGTTCTGTTTTATAAAGCGCAGGTCGTTATGCACTTATAAAAATAAAATTATAAATAAATATAATTACAGGAAATATAATATGAAAAAAAAATTAAGAGCAACTCACTATTGGCGTCATCTCGCTTATGCAAGATTTAAGACAGGGAAGAAATTTCTTTTTTTAAGACTCAGCATCTTTTGTTATGAATATACTATTTACTTGCAACACAAACGTAAATAATAAATATAAAATAGAGCTACATAATGCTCGATATGTATGTTTTTAAATGTTTTTTGCTGTTGCCCTGTCAGAAACGTTAATTTTCGATTTAACATGCCATTTTGTAAAATCAACTGAAAAACACTTTGCATAATTAACTAATAACATTCCGAAGCATGTATATATATATATTAATCAGATATCTAGTAACTACAGTTAACATTACTTATTGGTTACATAACCGTAGTACTCCATTGTGATGTTACAAGGCTTACCTGCCAACTATATCGCAGCGACACAATAATGAGATATCTAGTAAATGCAGTTAACATTAGGTGTTAGTTACATAACAGGAGTACCACAGTGTGATGTTTAAATGCTTATATGCAAGCTATATCGCTGCGACATAATAATGAGATATCTAGGAAATGTAGTCAACATTACGTGTTTGTTACATAGCATGAGTACTCCATTGTGATGTTATATAGCTTACGTTCCAGGTATATCGTTAAGACATAATCATGCGATGTACTTATTGTTCTTTTGTGAGTACGTACCTGACACGTTAACATCACAACTGTGTTTACTGGGTTTGATAATGCTTTAAACATCGCTCAGTTAAGACTTAATAACGTGTAGGGTAAATGTGTACAAGAGTGCGAATATGTATAAGAGTACGCACTCATGATTTCTGCTTATTAGTGCCATCTGGGTAAGATGAAGTTATACCATTCGAATTTAATGCTAAACCTGAGATAAAGGTGCAAAAGTGACCTGAATATAGTTTATAGTTTGGTCGTACTGACGATTTTGTGTTCACACGTCGTGTGGATGTAATTTTTACCGCTCATAGTTTTAGTTTTTTGTAAGGTACGTACCAGTTTTTTTATTTTACAGTAATAATTTTCATTAGTTGTAACTTTTAAGGTCTCGTTATACACTAGCACTTTTACACTTTCTATCCATCAAAAGCTTTTAACTTTGAAAACATTAGGTTATGTACAAATGTACAAGAGTGCGCAGCGAGGTATTGTATAAGAGTGCGCATTGCTTGCAATACGTAGTCTAATAGTCTTGGAGATACATATCATACGATAATGAATTATTTAACTATACTACTTTGTACTGCATCTCAAGTTGTGTGGTGGTGGTTATGGTGATTTTTTTTTTATTTTTACTTCCCGAGCGTGTTGTAATCGAGTCCGTCGACCGACTCTCTATTTTTACGTTTTCTCGACTTTTCAAGGCCCCTAGAGTACGAAGAAATAGGTCTCCCGTTTTATGTGTAGTCTGTAGTCACTTATTCCCATTTATTTTCACCTTAGAAACAAATATTTTTTTTATAAAATGTAATGCGCACTCATAAGCGTTCAAATGCGCACTCTTGTGCAATGAACTGTCTAAGAGTGCGCATTTACACATCTTGACAAAAATTGAAATTACTCTTAAAATATAGTGGTCTTGAGACGTACAATTAAATATATCTGATCTCTAAACATGTATATAACGAACCCATATCATAAAATTTGTCTATCCAAAAAAATTAAAAAGTTATTGACAGTTTTACACTAAGTGCGTACTCTTGTACACATTTACCCTATTGCTATTGATATTTGATAACAGCTCGCATACTGTTAATCAAATTTCTAACTTCTTCTTGATGAATTTCTTGCCACTCTTGCGTCAATTTAAGTGTTAGCTCTGGGAGGGTAGTAAGAATGTGCTAGAATGCTTTAATTCTTTTTTCCACTATGTCCCATAAATACTCGATGGGACTGAGTTCCGGACTACGTGCAGGCCAGTTCATACGTACGATTTCCACTTGTGCAAAATAAAATTTTAAAATCTTGCGCTAATTTTGCGGGGCAGTGTATTATTAATCATATAATAGGATCTGAGTCTAAAGCCTACAAAGAAATATAAAGAATTCACTGATACTCATGCTATTTTCACATTATTCTCTTCTGTTGTTAGATCCAAAATATTATAGAATTTAGTTAGAAACCAATTTTTGTCGAATTTTATGATTTTTGAAATATATTTCCAATTGTTTTGACGATACTGCTGATCATGACGAACATAGAATATCACTAGCTTAGGTATCAATCTATGTTGTAACTATTGAAGGCATGCAAAGAAAATTTCTAAAGTTAGTCTCGTCTAAACTTGATGTGATTTGATTATTCTGTGTTATTAGCTCCATTTAGATATACTTATTTCTCTCAACGTTAGACGAATATTTCTTGCTTGGTTTATATAATAAAAAAAACGGGGAATAGCTCGCAATAAGATTATTCCACTGTGTAAAATTCACGTTCCTAAGTGGTAGCAATGTCTAGAAAAAAAATATTTGAAATTAAATATAAATTGTTATACACGCCACTGGTAGTGTTTCTTGACCTACTTCTTTCAATAAATGGCACAGAACGACTTGGATTGAGAACCAAAAAGTGACTGATAAATAACGTACAAAAACACGAAAAGGACCAGTCATGTATCAGTTGCTTGCATCGAACGGTCGGGAGTTGGTTTATGGTAAATTTTTCCAATTCAAAGTGTGTCGATATGGCAATGCTTTATGGTCTGCGCGGATCCAGGGGGGGGGGGCAATGGGTGCAATTAGGGTAAATATACTATACGTGTAACGAAAACAACCAAATGTCACTATACCTAGGTTATGTGAAAAAAGGGTACACTCGTTAAAATTTTATAATTTTTACTTCCCGAGCGTAAGCTAACGAAGTATAGTTATTGAAGTACATCGGTCGAATTGTTACTATTGCTACTTTCATATTTTCTCGACATGACCTCTAGATTACGAAAAAAGGGTCTCCCGTCTCCGTCCGTCTGTTTGTCTGTCTGTCTGTCTGGCTGTCTGTCTGTCTGGTGTCTGTATACATTTTTATTGGGCAAGTAATCTCTGAAACAACTGGACCGATTGTTGTCAAATTTGGTATGTAAGTATATTATTAAAAATATGATGTAGTTGGTTAAATGCTAACTAAAATTTGGCTAATCATCCCCACCACCAATAGAATGACGTCATCTCCAAAATTTATATTAGAACTTTTTTGAAGTTTTATAAAATAAGATACTCTTCCACTTGTGTGTGAATCCGTTTGGAATTTTCTCCCCAGAATATTTTGTAATATAACTTTGAAACTGTAAAACCGAATGCTCTGAG